CCCCCCCCCCCCCCCACGGTAATACAATTATAATCTTAAGTATGTGGAGTAAATAATGGTCTTTATATAATTATATGCACCATGTACTTACCCCAGTGCTCATGGATTCTAGTACTCTATCCAGGAAAAATTTAGTGATCTTGTCTGGTGTTGTGGATTTTTCATTTGTTGCTACAGGAAAAATTGGTTGTATTTCCTCTCTACTACACCAGTCTGTTGACAGGGTGAGAAAAATATGTCAACTTCATTTCCTAAATACTTTTATGATACTCATTAATGGGAATCAAGATTGCAGACAATGAATATGCAGTCTGCCTAAATGTGCACAAAAGATTCTTTAGTAGTATTATTGTTGGAATGTTTGAGCTATTTCCTTTATGCTTAGACCATAATGGAGTAAATAATCATCCTTCCACCTCAAGGAAGAAGGAAAGCTCACAAGTTATGGTCAACTTAACGGATAGTCCACTAGCCAGAGAGTAAACTCGCCCATAATCAGGTCAACTCAGGTGCACATAACCGTTTTGAAGTAATGCAATTGAATGAAAAGCAAGTTATAGCTGTTGCAAATAAGTTATTTTAGCTGCTTGAGTAACGGTAGTCTAATGCTGATTAACTAGTCACAACTTTGGTAACAATTTTCAGAGCATACACTGTATATAATGTACCTTCATTGCTTTTGTCCAGGTGAAATGTACTTAGAGATGTGTGAATTAACTGGTCTTCATTTTCTGGTCCATGCAGTACATATACAATATCCTCTGCTTCTGTTTTTGATAGTGTTGATTTACTCCAGTCAATAGAATCCACTGGGTTGGGAAAGCCAGGTATAATACTGGCATACATAAGCTGAGACAACTCATCTGAGTTGGCTTGAAGACATTGAAACCACAGCATAAACAGTCTTACGCCTTCTCTTCGCAGCTTTAAAATGCAAAACAAAGATTTTATTTTACTATATTGCCCACCTTTAACTGCCGATTCTAAAAATTGTGCAAAATCAGTAGTTACAAGCTGCACTCTGAAATTTAGTTGTTTACTGCTGTCAATTAAAAAAAAAAGTTTGTACCTTCTATGTTTTTTTAATTGCCAGCAGCAAAATCCAATTTCACAACAAACCATTAACATGTCTGAGTTCAGTATTCAAAAGCTTATGTTTTACACTCCCAGTACCTACATTAGGCTTCCAGAAAGCTCAAGACACTAGTGTGTCCTTCACACCCTCCATTCACCTGAGTGTTAGCTCTTTTAAAGGCCCTGTTACAAGTTGAAACTTCAAGCCAACCTTTTTACCCATTTCTATAACCCAGACAGCTACAGCAAAACTAGCTCAAGATATGCTGAGTTGTATTTTGGCTTTGTTTCAAGTTTAGTCTTGTTAGACAACAGATTGAGTGATGAAGTCAAAATGCCCGAAAGAGTTTAAATGATAATAAAAACTTTGACCCATGTAGAAATTGAGAAAAAGTTATTTGTTTTGACTAGAAATAACTGTGAATTATATACCATACTTTTTCAGGACAGTACTGACTTGGGGTTTGAAATGATTTGACTGATAACTAGAGCTGTTGACTGTAGATATCAGCCTATTTAGCTATAATCTAAAGTAAAATAATAGTATTGTTTCTGAGTGTAGATTGAATGGTTTTTAATACAATATTGTAAACAGACCTTGATGGCATTGCCATGGTGAAGTAGCTTCAGCATTATTCGCCCTGAAATATTAATAAAAAAAGTAAAGGTGTTTATTAATAGCTATGGCTTAACAAGACATTTATATTTAGTAGATCCTTTAAACTTTAATTTAGATGCCCTGAAAAAACCTTTGGGTTGATCAAAGTTAGGGCATGGCTAGCTCCAGATTGAATTGGAATTTAGCATGTTAGGCTATGGGGAGGCAAGAAAAAAGGAAAACCTAGGAAAACCTTTAAATCAAGGGAGAGACCTAAGGAATGTAACCTGAGACGAGTGCATGTACTTATAAGACTTTACAACCTATTTTTCGGCATATATATATAGACCTATGTGGGAGAGGGGAGAGGAGAATATGGGAAACCAAAAACAGAAAGAAAAAGTTAGGATAGAAATGTCAGAAGTCTCGGTCCATTCATAACAAGATCTTTGTTTTAAATGTTGGCTTCCTCTTGATTAATATTGGTGCAGAATGTTAACTGTTTGTCTAGTCTAGTGACAAGCAGGTTATAGAACAACTTACACCATGTGCAGGTATTAACTAAGAGTAATCATCTAAGTCTAAATCTCTTTTTGCTTTTTCATGCAACTATAACAGGGCAAGGCTCAGAAAAGATGATCAAAGTCAAGAATTTAAAGTTGCATAAACAATGAAGGACTTGGAGGAAAACCCATTTACACATAATATAATTTATATAAGGGCTGAAAATAGCAGCTGGTCATCAGACAATGGCCAGAATGGAACTTGTCTGGTCAAATCTTTGTCTTGCCTGTCATGTTGACCTGAGCAATGTTGAGCCAGAAACAAAGCTAATTTGGCTGGGCATCATGACTGACAACTGACCAGCCATTATTTTTAGCCCTCTTCATATTAAACAGTTGCAACTTGTCAAGCTGAATAAATCAGGACTGCAAATAATTTTTTGATAAGCAGGTCATTTTTCATGCCAGAGGCAAATTTGACTCACATCAGAACCCAAGTGTGGCTGAAGGAAATATATATATTTATATATATATTTAATGTAAATATATATCAGACATTCCATCAATATGCTAATTAAGCTAAATCAAATCAAAATAGATGAAATGTGCTTTATCGAATGTTACTTTCAAAAAATTGATAAATGCCATGAATATTCTTATAAAATCTGCACATCAAAGAAAAATGTCAGGGGAGTGGTTGTTTGTTGACTTAACATATAATGATCAGTTAATTAAATATTAAATTAAATACAATTAGTTTTGTTAAATTAATTATTTTATAGTTTGGGTCAAATTATAAATTACACCAAAATTATATTGAAATAAAATTAAGCTTATAGTTTAACGCAAATTAAATTTACGCAAAGATCATTTTCCACAAACAAGTTAAATTTCGTACAATTTAAAGATTCAAACAAAGTAAAATGAATCCTTACCAATGCTGTGAAACTGCCATCTTTTCTGCACAAGCTCAGGTAAAAGGATAAGGATTTTCTAGAATAAAAACATACAAACAATAGGATAATATGTCAACAGGTTAGTTTTGTCTGCAAAGTGTGGCGTTGTAGGAGCAAAACACTTTGAGCGTTAAACTCCTTCATTTAAATGGAAAAAGTCTACAAATCTTGTAAAGCAAAGTTTCCTACCTCTAGTACGTAGAGAACGCCATCAAGATCTTCTTTCTGTGATCTGTGACCTATCGTAAGATGATACAGAAGCGTTATAAGAAATCTAGTGTTATCGCACTGTACACAACACTTTCTCAACACATCAAAGACAATTTACTTTGTAAACACAGCCATCCTAGGTGCATAAATCGCGGGGCGTTTATTGTTTGAAACCCCAAAGAATATAATTAACAGGTAGTATAGTTCTTTGTCTTTCCCTAGATATTAAAGGTCAACACTACTGAACAACAATTAAACAAGAAGCTAAACAGCCTGACTGCGAGAAACCCTTTAGAAGTTCCCTTGTCCTTCAGTAAACATACTGCATAAAAGTCCGAAAATGAGAGCTCAAAAACTTCAGAATAAGATTTCGAAGATCTGCTACAATCCCTTCCTTGATTAAATGAGACTTAACAAAGTTAATCTATTGTTTTGATGGTACTGCAAGAGTCGTATAGCTTATGTATTATAAACCCACCTTTCTGCTTGAGGTTGCTTTCCACAACGCAAAACATATCGTTAAAGACATAGTAGATCTCTGAATAATGTCCCTGGAAGAAAACCTTGGAGTCTGCACTATCGAAAGCATCTATAAGAGAAGCAAGCAGTATAGCATGAAAGTTTATTAGCGTTATGACCAGAGACCTAGTGACAAGCAAGAAATAACATTAGACTTGTCTCCAACCAAACCTAGCAAAGTTCGAAGCGCTCGCAGTCTTCCGGGAGTCTCTTTCTTTGGATCAAGGAACTTCTGAGTTGTCCTCTTGATGTCTGGATGGTTTTTCCTGCTATGGAACATATTTCTGTTCCACACATGAATGGGGAATGCCAGTATAACCGAGCAAACCGTCTACTCTCATTCATGACTCTGCAGCCATTTTATTTTCATCTCCAGATGGTAGTGACCATACGCATGCGTCAAGCTCTCTGGTTGCCACAGTTTCGGAGGGGAGGGGATAGCAAAACCAAAATTTCTCAAATAACTTCCTTAATTAATAATCATTTTGCCTATAAATATTCCCAATTAAATTATTTTAATTTTGATAATTAATTACATCAATTAAATAGATAGAATCATCTATATTTTTGACAAAGTGATCGATTTTTTAATGTTTCTTTACCATGTTCTAGAGATATCAAATTTGATCCCGAATTTAAACCTGGTTTCAAATAATATATGAACTAGAAGTTTCATATATTTAGCTATTTGTAAGACAACTTGTTTTGGAAATAATTGCCTGTCCCGCAAAATCACGGGATGTCCCGCAAGAGGGAGTTAATTCACCCGCCAAATTTGATTCGATGCGCGCGCACCCATGTGCGTTCTGACCTCGATATCTTTTGAGACGGCAAGAACCATTTCTCGGCGTTTTGCAGATTTTAACACCACTAGAGCACTAAACAACGGCTAAGAACTACTTTAGAGGTCAAGAAAGTCTTTCTAAATAGTTTATTTATTTAATTATCATGCCTACCCGAAAGCGTGCTCAAGCAGCGAAGAGAAAAGGACCGGCGTCTGATGGTGCTGCTGGCGTAAAGAAAGCCAAGAAAGGTAGATTATAGAAGTGCTTTATGCTTTATTTGAAGGACTATTTGATTGTTGTTTGAATTTAATCTCATTGACGGCATAAAGATTTACGGCTGTGACGTAAATTAAGATTGGATTTTTGCGTGTGCTTTGTCTTTGCAGATGGAAAGACTTCAGCCATAGCTTTTCATTGCACAACTAAACCGAAAGTGCAACTGAATTACAATTTAAATTCAACTTCGTTTGATGGAATTAATAAACGTTTTAAACCTTTCTTTCAAAGGCCGCAAGATGTTTTTGTGTAAACGTTTAACACAATCCTTAAATATTATGATTTAAATATTTTATTGATATGAATGAAATGTATGAAATGTTAGCTATATAATATCAAAGGGAAAGTAATTTAATATTCAAACTTGTAAAAAGTCATCTTGACTACATTTTTTCTCTATTAGTCTTTTACATTTTCCAGTCTTAGCCCCCCNCATACTATAGTCTCTCATAATTTTCTATCTTAGCCCACCACTTCTTTTTCTTATATTAGTCCCTCGTATTTCCCAACCCCCCCCCCACTTTTTAGGGTGCTCGGTGGCCTCTTCTGACTTGACCATGTTTGGAACTATAGAACTTTCTTTTTCATTCATTCATTTCCTTTTTACTTGTTAGAAAAAGATTCTGTGATTGAGAAGGAAACTGGTTATGTGTTGACGATGGGACAAGGAGATGTGGGACAACTTGGCCTTGGAGAGGATGTGTTAGAAAGAAAGAAGCCTGCCCTTGTAAAAGGTCTTGAAGATGTAGAAATTGTTCAGGTTGAGTGTGGTGGAATGCATACTGTTGCTCTTAGCAACAAAGGGGAGGTGAGTAAGATGGTATCAGAATAGAGAGGGTACCCAACAGGAGAGGGAGAGGATGCTAATGGCTCTAGAACCTGATTGGCCTTAGCAAAAAAAGAAAACGTTACATCAAAGGTTACATGATAGGCAAATAAAGTGTTAATAGGATAGGGCACTCGACAGGGTAAGAAGAGAGGGAAGAAGAGTGCTAAACTCCTTTATTGAGTTGTTCTTATCAGAGGATTAAAGACTATAGCTTACATTGTAGATTATATTACAAAATAAATTAATCAAAGTATAATCAATTTATTTTTGTAGGTATATTCCTGGGGTTGCAATGATGAAGGTGCTCTTGGCCGTGTAACATCGTCAGAGGATGGCAGTGAATTTACTGCTGGCATTGTAGATCTTCCTGATGATGTTGTTATCGTCATGGTTTCAGCAGGGGACAGTCATACTGCTGCTCTGTCAAATAAAGGAACTGTATATGCTTGGGGAACATACAGGGTGAGAAAATTGTTCATGCACAAAGCACACTAATTCTTGGGATGGATGTTATGTCACAGTTGCCATTTTGGTTGATTATAACACACATTATTTATTGGCTTCTCTCATTAGATCAACCAACAGGTTGGCTATTTCATTGTTAGTTATATTTATTTATTTGAAGATTTGCCAAAGGCAGGTAATAATTACAAAAGAACACTAAGTCCCTTACATGACAAATCACCCTACCCAGCCCTGTAAAATAAGTAACCCATCTCACAAGTACACCCCCACAGATATATTGCAAGGGATTTGGAGTCTTATGGTTACACTCCAAGAAGTCCAGATCAATTAATGCCTGATAATCAATAAAACATTTAGATAGAATCATAGAATATGCTTTGGACAAAAAGCAAAGCAGCCAACCACTATAAATTATTAACATAAAATCATGGTTAAAAGCCCTGGGTTAATACTCATTCATCAGGGTTTTTTTGATGGGATTATAACTGGAATAAATATTTATTTTCCTATTCAAACTTTAAGCTTAGTGCTCTCTGTGATCTAATACTTGATTGTGTGACTACAGTAATGTATGTGAAATGTGAAATGAAGAACTTAAACTTGAATAGTTCTTTAAGTAATGGAGGGAAAACTTGCATCAATCTTGTCACATCTAGCCCATAATTACATTTCAACATACAAACCATTGAATTAAACTTGAATCTTATCATTTGCAGGATGCTGGTGGTCAAGTTGGCTTACAGCCTGATGGGGTCAAGCATAAACCAATTGTAATCCTGACATCTGACAATGACCCAATCAACAAGGTAGCTTCTGGTAATGATCACACTGCAGCACTAACAGCCAATGGGAACATCTTCACGTGGGGTTGTGCCGAACAAGGTCAGCTAGGTAGAGTTAAAGAATGCTTCACTAGTCGTGGTGGCAGAAGAGGACTGCAGTACATACTGAACCCTTCATTAGTAAGACTCAAGAAATCGCTGAAGTTTAAAGACGTCTTTTGTGGAAGCTATGCCACATTTGCAGTGGCTAAATCTAATACCATCTATGCATGGGGGTTAAATAACTATGGCCAGTTAGGTACTGGAGATCTAGAAAATGGCTACCTACCTGTGAAGATAGAGTCTCTTAGTGAGCTAATCTCCGAAGATGAGGAGGATAAAAGAGTAGAAATTGCAAACGGCCAACACCATACATTATTTCTGGACACTAAGGGTAAAGTGTATGCCTTAGGAAGAGCTGAATATGGAAGACTAGGTATTGGAAAGGATGCCAAAGAAACAACCTCCCCAGTTCACATTGCATCACTCAATAATGAAATCATCAATAAAATTGCTTGTGGGGAAGTGGTTAGCTTTGCTGTTTCTGATAAAGGGGAGTTGTATTCCTTTGGCATGGGAAGCTGTCTACAGCTTGGAGTTGGTGAGGAAGAAGATGTACATGTTCCTACAAAAGTGCAAGGAAAAAATCTTCAATCTGATTCCCATAGAGTTGTTGGAGTGTCAGCTGGAGGTCAACACACTGTTCTTCTCGTTCAAGACAGAAATAAGGATGCCGAGACTTAAGTGTGTTCTGTGTTCCTTAATACTTTAGACTTTTTTAATGAAATATTGTTTAAATTAAGTTTTTTTGTTGTATAATTTAGAGCTGGTCACACCTTGAATTTTTATCCGTTTCTATTAATTTCAAGTGTTACTACTCTTCCCAGTAGACCAAGCCAGTTGTGATTTCTTATTGCCTTCCTTGTACTGTAGCCTCTGTTATATTAACTACAAGTGTGTTTCAAATCAACCACCTTAAGTCCAGTGTTGTACCACAGGTACACGTTTTTTACACCACATGCACTTCAATCAAGTGGTAAAATAACTTGTCCGCGTGGTACGACATTGGCATCATGTGGTTGATTTGAAATGCACTTGCATTTAACATGCTACGAAGGTGATGAAAATATCACAGCTGTCTTGGCCTACTCGTCCTACCTATGTGGTCGATTTGAAATGCATTTGCATTTAACATGCTATGAAGGTGATAAAAATATCACAGCTGTCTCGGCCCACTGGAAAGAGTTGCTTTACTTTACTACTAGCACCATAACTGTTTTAGCAATCAGGACTTACATTTAATTGTTGAAAGTGATGACCTAAAACGAACACAAAATGCAGCCTTCATTTCAGGGAGCATGTGCCAAATATCGTTTTGTTTCATTAGATACCAGTATGTTTCTTTGTGTTTTGCTTACTATAAATAGTGAATTGGAAGGACTGTCTTGTATAGTTTTTGCATTGGAAAGTGAACAATGCCTTAGCTAAATATATTATGTAAATTACTGCTTTTTAAAGAATGACAACATTTTAATTTTTGTTTCAAATACAATATTAGAGTGCTTTCAGTCAACTTCAGAACAATATAAACATGCAAATAAAGAATTAGTAAGTTGTGGCAGCAGTCTATTAGTAGGAATATCTTTGTGAAGGCTTTTAACCCATGAAATAAATAGAAAATATGTCAACATGTAGTAGTCAAATAGACACAAAGGAAAACAATGAAGTTGGCGCCTACCAAAATGTATTTGTCAAATCCAACTAGCTAGTGGTCTATCATCAATGCTGCTTTCTGATTGGATGAGCTACTAATACTAGGCTAAAAATTATATGCTATAAAAGTGAAAAGTGCCAGCTTTGAAAATCAAAGCATTCAGGGGCGTATCCAGAGGGGTCACCGGGTGCCCGTGACCCCCCTTTCAAAGCCAAAAAAAATCTAACAGGCCGTTGATGCAGTGTGTAAGATTTGTTTAGACTTAACTTAAGCTGTTAAGAAAATCAGTTTTCTCGCTTTTCTGTTCCCCTCTATTGACCATGATTCTTTTTCGTCAAAACAACAGATTGCTTTGACATCATATGATGTCATAGTGACAATTTGGTATGTAAAGACCCTCCCAATTACAAATCCTGGATACACCCCTGACATTGTATCTATAAATACTTGTCCAACTAGTTGGATTTGACTTAAACAATAAATTAGTCCTCTTGCCCTCATGGCCTATGAGTCAATAGCCCATGCAGGCTCGAGGACTATAATTGCTAAAAAGATGTTGTGTATCCCTTCCCATGAGAATTATATGACAAAAGACATGAAAATTACATGCACACTAAGAGTGGACTACTTTGAGAATATGGTGGCCATCTTGGATCATGATCAAGGCATTATGGGGTGGCAACTAAAGCATTGATACAGTATTTTCCATCATCTTTGTTTTGTTTTGCCCCCTGGCAAGAGGGTCGCTGTATCTTTGAAGAAGTCCATTGAATTGTGCAGATTATTCACCACAGGCAAATATTATTGGAGTCACTCGAAATACAAATAAAAGCTCTGTTAAGCACAAATTAAGTGTGCATACTGTATTGTTAGAGCATAAAAATAGAGTGCAAATCATATACATCGAAGTATATAAATCATAAATCGAAGTACCACAAAAACTAAATAACACTAAACACATCTATTTCTTTTGTTTTCAATTGTTTCATTGGTGCTATTTTGTACAATTACTTAGTACTACTTCTCAAATAGAGTGGTTCTCAAAAACCCTGTGAAATAATAATTAGCAATTAACAATATTATTGCTAGCGTATTTAGCAGATATACATTTTATTACAGTTTAAATAAGCATGGGACTCTGTAGCTGAGAGCTGCATGCTGTTTTATTGCTGAAGCCAGTCAAGAACATTATAGGTATCAACTGATTTGTCTTGATTGATGACAAGGAAAAATCTAATATTTCAGGGTGCAGCTCGCAACTGGCGAGCTGTTTGCATGTTTATGAAAATAGCAGTTATGCATGTTATTTGATAGTAACTAAGATTAATTGTTTCACGGGTTTTTGAAAACCACTCTATATGGTTTGCAATCTAATGTAAAATGTCTATGATTTTGCTTGATTTTTCAATCAAGTAATGATTGGATCAAGAAGCTAGAAGCTAGATTATATTTTACTAAAAGCCGCATGCAACTATTCATGTTTTCATTATTTTTCCAGTATGCACTGAATGAAAATGGCAGACTATTTTCAAGATAAAGTGGAATTGTTGATTCAGTGCCCTGTTATCTATTCCTCTAATCATTTTTTATTTCATTTTTTTCAACACTCTCTGTTATTTCCAGTGGTATATTCTTCAGGCAGACCATGTACCCCATCAGTATCAACGATAAATGGCCAAGTTATGTTAGATAGATGAGGAGCAAATATCACATTCAGATTTCTTTTGACAAGGTTGTTGTGGCTTGATTCCTCGAAAAGAAGACCAGATAAGTATTTGAATAAATGTATTAAAAATATAGTTTATATTCCTGAAATACTATAATGTTAGATTTTTGACAGACATCTTTCATCCTACAAGCTTGGTGATGTAGATTTTTATGCTAAACTGCTGTACTTTTACATCTCTCAAACCAAGAGAAGTATACTATTAGCAGTTCCAGGTTGAGTAGAAAACAGGGTCAAGTAGGGATTGTAGGGCTGTTTGAAATTTTAAATCTCTAATAGTCCCATTATGCACTTCCATGCTCAATTGGTCCAACCCCCCTCCCAAATAGTTGGAATGGCAAACTAAAGCAACATGGTTCTGTAGAAAGTCTGGAATAAAACAAGGCCCAGTACAAGGACCAATGAGCACCCTCAAAAGTAAAGAGAGGGCTAAGATTGAAAAATATAGAGACTAGTATGCAAAAGGGAAAAAGGGGGGAGGGGATGGGGGCCTAGCAAACAGAGCTACATCATAACATAATATATACAAATTATATACATTTGGTTATCCTTGGGAACCCAGGGGTAAAATTCTGTCGCTCATTTCTCGCTACCAGAGTTTTACAAATCTTACTCCTGGTTCCTGAGAATCACATTTAGTAGTATACTTGAAAAAGTATCACCTTTATTGATCTAACATCTATAAATTGTTCAGTGCGAGATAGCATGAGTCTAACTGTCACCATACTTGACCATGCTAGACCAAGTGCTGGGATGACACCCTTGCAACCTAAGCTAAAACAAAAAACAAAAAGAGGTTAAGTATCACTCCACATTTTTTTACCAGGAAGAAAGCAGGGGAGACACACTTTTTATGCAACAACAAAAAGGGAGTTCCATTAAATTTCTTGTACAGGTTACCTTACAGTTCCTTATTCTATAGTAACATTTAAACAAGCAGTATTTCAGGCTTTTTAGTCTGCATTGCTTGGCAGTCTGTACTCGTTATTTGTTGAGGGGGGTTGGGGGGAAAGGTCTTTCACCTCCTCCCTCTTAACAGCATTAAATAAAATGAAAAATGAATGTGTGTAATACCTGCTAGCATTGTTGTTACCAACAACATCAGAAACCTTTGATAAAGAGATGAGATGCATTTAGTATATAATCATTGCATTTAATCTATGGACATAGAATTATAGGAAAAAACCAAGAACACATACCTGATTAACACAAATTACAGCAACATTGTACTGATGGCTGATTTTGTGCAACTGAGCTCCAAAAGACATGAGTGCCTTTGCTCTCTTGAATGTTTCATTTTGGGAATACTCTACACGAAACAGTGCAGCAACAGAATCAACAACGACAAGCTTTACTTTACCATTGTTTAGGAGTAGTGGAAGGCGATGAAAGATTATGCTTCTTAAATCTTCCTGTGTAATTTGAGCAACAAAAAAAGTTTGAGATGCAAACAATCGTCATATAAGAGAGGAAATTACCACTATTTTCAACATTATGTGCTGATCGAGACAGTCATGACATTGAAATTGGGCAATACACGAATCAATTAAATAAATCATTAAGCACAAAAAGGTACATGAGTAAATAGTATAAGGAATAAAACTTATTTAATCGATGGTAGTTTACGACCCAGTTTCCAAGTGCATTTTGTCAGGACTGTTGTCTTGAACAGTGGCAAGATGATTTGAAGAAGGAAAAGAAAAAGAAAACCTTCGGCAACCAGGGTATCAAGAAATTATATGCTGGTGTAGGAAAATGAACATTATAATCAAAGTGAGAAGGTTGTACTGTAAACTTCATAGGAAGTAGTTGTGGTTGTCGGGAGGGGCCGGGGCGAATAGGCTGCAGTTTTTGAATGGAGTCTTGAGTCTTACCACATCAGCAGCATGCTCTATGTAAATGTTATCCCCTGGTTTAAGATGTTCAGTAGCTTTTTTATTTTGCTTTTTGAGAAAAGCAGGGATCAATTGTTGAAGACGTCTACTGGGGAAAACATCCTCTGTGCAAATATATAGAGCACCTGCAAAAAAGAACAACATCCTTGTCCAATCATTTCTTTCAACTTTTTTTCAGATTTTTAATGTCTAATGAAGAGAAATAGCAATATATCCTTATAAAATTTAACTGTCCCACTATGCTTCATGCTTCTCCTAACATGAGATAATCCCAGATACTGTACTAACCTTTTCCTAATCCTCCACAGTCCCTGGGAAGCTGAACAGATAAGCACAATTGAAGACAGAGTTGTGTTTTTCCTGACGCACTCTCTCCTGTAATCTCTGTTATGCCTTGACAGGTGATACCTCCTCTAAGAGCCTTATCTAATATAGGACATCCAGTGCTTAGGTAGCTGCCGTTGCTACTGTGATAAAGTTCTAGGGCAGTCTGCACTGGTGGTCTTGGAATTGCAGCACCAGCGACTTGGTGGAGTATTGCTATATCTTTTAATGATAGTCGTGTTGCTCGTTGGATGTCTGTGGCAGACATACACACAACTGTGTGGATGTTGTCTAGCTTGCCTGGACAATAAAGGGTAACATAAAGGAGTAAACTTAAGAAATGTTGAATATTATAGGATTTTTTCTTTTATTAATTAATTAATTTTAACTTATTTATTTATCAAATATGCTTATTCAGTGATAAATAAGAGACATTCCATATTATTCATTTGATGCCATATTATTGCAATATGGAAACGATAAATCGAAAGTCATAAACAGACAGGGCTCGTGCCAAATAAGAAAGAAAAATTATGACTTCGTTTACGCGTTATAACATGCAAAAAATACGGAATTTACTTTTATTGGTTAATTTACCTTTCTTGACTGCATTTATAATCCTTTGAGGTAAATCTAACCTCTCCATTTTTCAACTTTTCTAAGCAATGATTTGAAAAACCCGCGCAATACGTCCACCATTTTGTTTTCCTTACTCGGTTAGTCCTGGGAACCAATCTAACTGGCAGTCGAGTAAGACTGGTACGAGCAATTTTTCATTCAAAATTTATTTTTTCAAGAAGCCTGAGTTTTATTCCCATTATTTATCCTTAAATTCATTTCTTTTTTTGCTTTTTTCACTATTTATTAAAGTCATTAATGGGAGACATTAATGTTCATTTTTGTTATTTGGCCGTGGGTTTAATTTTTAATTTCAAATCAAATGAGTGAAGGTCAGAGTAGCTTTCTGCCCTGCTTTCGTTATCGACAATCGGCTTGTAGTGTTGAAATAAAACATATACAGCCTGAAGTAAATGGAATACGAGTGGAAAGAGATGGAGACAAGCAAAGTGAGGTAAAAATCAAGTTATTCCAAGTTTTCAATGCTTGTTATGTATAAATTACATCTTCATAGTATACAAGCTAATATAAATAGCATAATTTTATTTTTCTTGATAGTTTGATAGCCTACTGTTTCATCGTTGGAAGGATTCTATGGAAAAGGGGTGCTTTAGGTATACTTTAGACCATGTGAAATGCAGGACGATTCCTGGGGAACAAGGCTTTGTGGCTCAGGTTGGTATATAAGGATATAAACGGAACTTATATCTATATATGATTTCTCCCCTTTCCACTTATGTCTATTTATTTACTCTTGTTTTCGACAATTTATCCATCCTTAGGTCCGTCCACCCACCCATCCATTTAACCTCTCTCCCTCCCCTCCACCCACCCACCAATCCATTTATACTTTTACCAATCTCATTTTTACAATTTATCCAGTTTAATGACAAAAGAACAACAAAAAGAAGAAAGCCCCCACGAATAACAGACATCAGGCAGCCATTCAACCCAGACAATTTTAACTTTAACAAGATAAAAGAGGGAGAAGTATGTTTATGGATATAATTTATATACATGCATGCATTAGTTAAAAATACTTGCACCTTCAGGGATGGATCTCAGGGGTTTTTAAAAAGGAGGTGACTTAAGGTACCCCCCTCCCCCCCCACCTTGCATGCCATTTAACCATACATGTAAAATGCAAAGCATGCAGTAGAAGCTTTAAATTCTGGCATAAAATTATAAAGTCGGAACTACACCCAAAAAAACTTTCAGCCGAAGTCTACCAAGATATTAAAAATGAAACTAAAAAAGCCTTTTGGA